TGAGTGAGAAGAATTCCTAGACTCACACCCATATCGATTCCCACACACCACCCACATCCACCTGGAAAAAACTATGTAATATCCTTAAACTTGATCGTAAAATCAATAAACTATAATGTATTCGAGAGTAGACACTTTGCTCTATTTAACGAGCTATAAAACACAAAATCGATACATGTGAACAAACTTGGATTTTGCTTAGACGGGGAGCCCCATTAAACGGTGAATAATAGATGAAAATTCAATTTAGAGATGTTAGACAGCTAACGACAACTATCGATTATCTTCTCTGCGATACATAGTAAATGGATATAATATGGACTGATGAACTCAGCGTCGACACTATCGAAGCATTTTGGTTTCTTTTCTGCACTCAGTCATGTAACGCTCACGTACTTCTACGAGTCATCAAACAATTTTAGTTGGTTTTTAATGAGTCATATTCTCACTAATCAATGTGATGCTTGCATTCCTTGTTTTACATTTCTGTTGTCAATCTATTACCTCTACCACTGACCGATAAAGAAAAGATTCTCTCGTTTGACTGTTTGCAATAAAGTTATTCGTTATTTCTTTCTCATTGAGCAGATTGATCAAACATGTTGCAATTACATTCCAGCAAGAAAACATACACTCCTTTGGCAGATAGATAAATAGATCACATTTTACTTAAGTCTCGTTTCATTTGCATTTTATTTTAATTTCCATGGCTCGCACCAAGCAAACAGCTCGCAAATCAACAGGTGGTAAAGCACCTCGACAATCTGCTGTATTTCAAACATATGCTAAACGAAAACAAGCTGAAGCTAAAAAACAAGGTAAACCAGAAATAACTGAAGCTGAAATTGAAGCAACAGCTCCTGTTGATGTAACATATGATGTTAGTTATGAAAGTTCATTTTATGCTCACCATTTTACGGCACAACCAACAACAACAGATTTATTTATGCCATCATTCGGTATTGCTACGACAATTAATCCACTAGAAAATGAAAATAAAAATGTTGAACATTGGCTAAGTGTTAATTTTAATAGTTGTCTTGATGGTTCAGGTATTCGTACACATCGTACTCGACTCCATCTTGTTATAACACTTGATATATCGGGTTCAATGTCGTATAAATTCGAAGGTGAACCAGGTAAAACAAAAATACAAATAGCACAACAATCATTATTAACACTTCTTAAACAACTTTCATCTGATGATGCACTTGGTATTGTACTTTTTAATCATAATGCAACAGTTTTACAACCAATGGAAAGAATATCATCAATTAATAGGACACAATTAGAAAAAAAAATTCTTAAATTATATGCTGATGGTGGTACTAACATAAGTCAAGCTATTGAAGTTGCTAGTGATTTATATAATGCAGAAACAAATAAAAAGGATATGAAAGATGATAACAATATGATTAGTCGTCGAATATTTTTTCTAACTGATATGGAAGTATCAACAGCTGATGGTCAAACATTTTTAAAACGTATTCAAGATAATGCACAAACTCATACAATTTGGTCAACAGTTGTTGGTATTGGTCTTGATTTAGGTACTGAAGTTATTCAATCAGTATCACGAACAATTGGTTGTAATTATTGTAATGTTCGAAATGCTCAAACATTTGATGAATTAATGAATACTGAATTTCATTATACAGTTACACCAATTGGATTTAATATTGAATTATTATTATTAAGTGAACGTTATACACTTGAACAAGGATATGGATCACCTGAAATACATCAATTACAAGATCAAATAAATACACGTCAATCAATTAAATTAATAACTGAATTTCCATCACCAATGAATGATAAACAAGAAGTACGTGGTGGATGTCTTTTATTTAAAATAATTGATATGAAAAAAGATGAAAATAAAGAAAAATTTAAAATTAATACATCATGGGATACAATATCTGGTATACGACAAATTAATGAACAAGAATTTGAATTTTCAAATGATATTGATTCATTTACACATTCTGGTATACGTAAAGCTATTTTACTTGTACGGTATACATCATTTATGAAACGTTATTTAAAATTACGTCAAGCATCAGCAACACCTGATATTATTGATGAATATCAATCAATGCGACGACAATATCCACGTTTAGTAGAATATTTTCATAAAGAGATGAATATTATTGATGATAAATTATTAAATGAAGAAGAATATAAACATTTATTGGATATTGCACAACAAGATGATATACCTTTGAATGAAAGTCTTCATCCAACAGCACCAGTTGTAGCTACAACTACAACTACAGCTACTACTATTGATCATCCTATTACAGCAAAAAAAACACTTCCTTCACTTGAAACATTACCTCGTCGAGATTTACAAACTCTAGCAAAACAACATAGTATTAAAGGAAATTTAAAAACAGAAGAACTCGTTCGAAAACTCTCTGATGTCATTACTGGTGATGCAATACCTGCAACTACTACTGCTTCTAGTGGTGATGTCTGTTATATTTGTTTAACAAACAACAGTTCAGTAATTTTATTACCATGTGGTCATAAATGTTTATGTAATGATTGTAGTAATAAACAAGAAGAACAATTAACTAAATGTCCTATATGTCAACATGATATTTTGCGTGCAACAACACCAACAGTTAAAAGACAACGTACAAATTAAAGACAAAATTTTATTTTATATTCATGTATCTTTACATGAAGCTAATAATGCTTGTGAAAAAATAAATAGTATTGTAAGATGTTTTGTTATCATTCTTATCTAAATTTGTAATTCAAAAAACCAAAACAAAAATTGTGATATTCTATTTTTTTTTTAATTCAGATTTTCTAATAAATTTTAACAAAATAAAGAATATGTTTAACGTAAATTTGTTTTGAAAATTTTCATTTGAACATACTGGTCGTGTTTTACATCAAGCAATTAAAAACACTTTCAAATGATGATTCTAGTTATTTATATTTGTCATATCATCATCATAAACATATAAAAGTATTT